TAGTGGAATTTACATTTCACAAGCTGTTCTTTTCCTCCGTCCAAGGTGTTCCACCTGTCTGGTCTCGTAGGGAGTAGCATTCTTCTTGTCTCGTTGAGTTTTTGGCACCCAAAGAGATGATAGTCAACAGTTTCGTAGGGGTAGTTATATAGCTGGCACTCCAGGGAGTGTTGTGGCTGTATTGTATTTGGGTGTCCATTGAGTAGAGTATGCTGTGTTCTGAGTCTGAAGATGGTGGCCTGGTCCCTTCTTGTTAAATTATTAATGCTGTCGTTAGGATCAGCAGGCGAGGCCACAGGCGAACGAGGCTCTGGCTCGCCAGATGGGATGGGGTCCATCTGGTCAGATTCTCCCTTAAACTGCGACTGGCCTAGCAAGCCGGCAGTGGATTTTTTATTGCTACGAAAATTAGAAAGGAGATAAATAAACGGATAGCCCCAAACGGAAAATGGACTGGAAACGTTAAAGGACGACGAGACAGAAAAACGACTTACATAGGCACATGGAACATATGTGGTATTGCCAACAAAGAGCCACAAATAGTGGATTTCATGAGAAGAAAAAATATACACGTCATGGGTCTTGCGGATACAAGAAAGAAAGGATATAATACAAAAGAAATACATGAAAATTATGTTTTAGTATGGAGCGGAGTACCCACTAAAGATAGGGCAAAACATGGTGTCGGATTTATACTTCATCCCGAAACAGCAAAATTATTAACAGGAACAGAATTTATATCAGAAAGAATTATTTTAATCAAGTTGACAGAAGGAAGCAAAACTACAACAATTATTCAGATATATGCACCTTGTAATGATAGTTACTCTGAAGAAGAAAAAGAAGACTTTTACGAGAGACTTACGGACACCATCAATAATGTTAAAGAGAAAGAGGACATCATAGTAATGGGAGATTTTAATGGTAGGGTAGGTAAAAGAAGATCACCATGGGAGAGATACCTTGGCCCATTTAGCGACACAACCACAGATTGCAATAGAAATGGAGAACACCTGCTAAACTTGTGTGCTGAACAAGATCTCTACATTACCAACACATTCTACCAACATCGCCAAAGTCAGGTTAAAACGTGGTACAAGTGGAACAACTTAGATCAAGCGTCACAAATTGATTTTATACTAGTCAGACAACGGCAGAAGAGGAAGGTGAGAGACTCAAAAGCTGTCCCAAATGCGGGACTGGATTCAGACCATCGCCCAGTAGTTATGAACATATGCAACTCAAGTAGAAACAGTCTACATAAACAGAAACGTGAAGAAATCATCAACACTAAGAAATTAGAGGAAGAGAATATCAAACATGAATTTGAACTAGAAATAACAAAGACTTTTGCAGATATTGCCAAGGAACCAGTAAGAATTGAAGAAGAATGGGACTATTATAAATCAACCATCACGAAGATACTAAAAGACAAGTGTGGTACCAGACGGGCAAAGGCGAGAAAAAGGGTACCGCTTGGTGGAATGAAGAAGTCAAAGAAGCAGTGTCAAATAAAAAGAAGATGTTTCAAATATGGTTAAAAACAAAAGACGAAAAGGATTACATTAGGTACAGACTAACTCGAAGAGACACCAAGAGAACAATAAAGAAATCCAAAGAGGATTCATGGAAAAAGTATGGTGAACACCTAACACAGCTATGTACAGAATCATCAAGAGACTTTTATAAGAGTGTGAAAGCGATGCGATTAAGAGAAGAAAGCTTCAATCCAACATCAGTCGTAAATGATAAAAAATGGAAAACCATTATTCAGCCAAAAAGAAATTAAAAAAAGATGGGAGGAATATTTTTAAGAACTTTTTTGACCCGTCGGGTGTACATGAAACAGCAGAATTCCATTCAAGGGCTCCAGATCATCTAGAACCACATATCCTGCGGGATGAGGTAGAGAAAGCTATCAAAACAAGTAAAAGACACAAAGCAGCTGGTATCGACGGAATAACAACAGAAGTCATCCAGGCTGGAGGGGACACTATGATCACCTGGCTGGAGAGAATTTTCAATAGAGCATGGGCAGAGAGAAAGGTACCAGTGGATTGGCAAAGATCAGTTGTAGTACCTATCTGGAAGAAAAAAGGAAACAAGAGAGAATGTGGAACTTATAGAGGAATATCTTTACTAAGTCATGTGGGGAAAATGTATGCAAAGATCTTAGAAGGTAGGATAAGAGCAAAGGTTGAACCTCTACTGAATAAAGCACAATTCGGTTTCAGGAAAGGGCGAGGTTGTACTGATGCCATATTTGCACTAAGACAAGTCTGTGAAAAGACACTCGAATACGATAAAGAGCTGAACGTGGTCTTTGTAGATCAAGAGAAGGCATTCGACCGTGTGGACAGAGATGTGCTGTGGAGAATTCTTGACGATTACGGAGTGCAGGGTCAATTATTAGACAACATCAGAGCCCTCTATGAAAAAAGTGAAAGTGCAGTAAGAACATCTAGTGGTCTTTCTGAATGGTTCAAAGTCACAACTGGTGTCAGACAAGGATGTGTACTGTCACCATTACTTTTCATAACATACATGGATAAGATCACTGTAGAAGCAAACCCAGACGTGTATGCTATAAACGAATTACTTACTTTTTGCTGATGATCAAAGCATACTGTATCAAAAATGAATATGATCTACAGGAACACCTGACTAATCTCAACAACAGCTGTTTACAACATAATATGAGAATCAGTACAGAAAAACAGAAGTTATGAAGATCAGCAGAACACACAGGCCACTGAATATAAATGTTGGAAGTGCCAAAATCAAGCAAACCAAAGAGTTCAAATACTTGGGCAGTATATTTACAGAGGATGGAAGAATGGACAGAGAGATAGAAACAAGAATACAGAAAGCAAATGCTGTCACATACCAACTATCACCTCTGCTTAAACATCCAGATATAACCATGAAGACCAAAAGACAATTGATAAACACCATCTTCATTCCAACACTCTGCTACCAGTGCCAGACATGGACAATCAACAAGACCCATGAAAGAAAAATAGAAGCCTGTGAAATGAAATGTCTAAGAAAAGCAGCAAATAAGACCAGACTAGACAGGATAAAGAACATAGACATTAAAAACACTGTCAAAACTACACCATGTTTAGACTACATAGAACATCAAAGAATGAAATGGTTTGGACATCTAACCAGGATGAAAAATGACCAAATAACATCACAAATTTTCAACCAAAGAAGCTCAGGATATAAGGCAAGAGGAAGACCAAGGAAACTGTGGATTGACGGGGTCTCCGAAACCTGCCAAAAGCATGGCCTCAGAACATCAGATGCTGCCCGCCTTGCTTATGACAGGAACTTGCATCTCCCCACAACGCTTAACGGCATACGTGGAAGGAAAAAGTAAAGTAAAGGATCAGGGCCAGCCATGTGGCCATAAACCTCTCTTCCAGTATCTCCCAAGAACACTGCTGTAAAGGATGTGCAACCAGTTGAATGCTTTTATCGCAAAGCACGTGGTTTCTCTCTCCCCCCCCCCCCCCCCCCCTGTTTATCGTGATGAACCGACGTCTGGAGCAGCCATTGTAGGACGCTGCGACCAACTTCCGGTACTCTCGATCCTTGTGTTATCTGTCTATATTTGTTAGAGTAGTCTCTCCCTGGCTGTAGAAATTCATGTCCGTCATTTCCGGTTCCTAGCTTCGTCTGGCACTTCTTTCTTTGTTGTTCATTTATTTAGGTGTTTACAAGTTGTAAATTTTTGCTTAAGACTGTGTATATATGTGCGTATGTGTGTGTGCGTGCGTGTGCGCCCTTGCTTGTTTTTTTGTATTCGCTTTAGTGTTGTTTGTATGTGATCGTGTATTCTGTCTTTGGTTTCATAAAGTAGTACTAGTTAGTTATTGCTTCTGATGCTACTACTACGCCTTCTTCAAAACTAACAGCAGCAACAATAGCAGCAAAGAAAGTAGCAGCAACAGCAATAGTAGTATCACCAGCATCAACAGTAGTATTATATGCAAAATCCGTTTATTATGAATGTTTGAGTATCATGAGAATAATAACACTATCATAACATAAGTAGTAGTACATTTTACCCCACTAGGACATCACACAAGCGATAAACACCCAATGACACAAAGTGCCACCAAGCGGATAAGGATCACTCGTGGAGAGGTCCCGGAAACCGCGTTCAGCCGTTAGACCATATTTATGGTCTGGCTATATTGCGGCTAGAGCCAGGGTGAGGCTTCAAAATAACTAAAAATTGCATTCCACAAGGGGTTGACGGTCCTAATTTTTTGGAAATATTATAATATGTATGTAAGTTCACATAAATGTTCCGCCGTCTGTCTGCCCATACGTCTATACAACCATCAATCCGTCTGTCTGCCTGTCTATTACAGCTACCTCATCAAACCATTATATACGGATAAATATCTATCGTTCTTTTTCTTTTTCTTTTCTGACGAATTCTTTTTAGTCTTAACATCTCATTTTAAGCTATATGTGTATATTTTTTATATTGTGTGATCAAAGTCTGGTTACTTCCCCTGTGCTAGGTCCACAATCACTTGCTGTTGTCTTTACTGGTCCGGTCGTGTCTTTACACTGATAACTTCGGTCGCTTACAGAGATTATTTCCCCTGTTGATGTGATAATTGCTGTTTAAATTTCGCCCTCGTCTAGCCGTTTATGTGCCCCATATCCCGTGTACTGCACTGAGCGTGCGATAAGGCGGTCGCTTTCTACGGGAGAAAACACTAACATTACAAACAAGAGCTTTATCTTCGGGAGAAATGTATTGGTGTAGGCTGAATCCTCCTTTGTGCAGAGGCGATGGAAGCTGGAACTCCTGCAGCCTGAGCGACGCCGCCTTTCGCGTAAAAAAAAAAAAAGAGTAATGAGTTGACCGCCGGGTGGGGAGGGGGGGGGGCGTAGATTTCTCCTCCAAATAATTATGTAAGTAGACGTAGCCCCCTCTAGCCATTTACAGACAATATAATGTGAACTTGAGCAAGATGACCTACGAGCCAGGAAAGTATCCCAAAGAGTACAATCCTAAAGTACACGGGCCATACCATCCTGGCCGTTACTATGGAAAGCCTGATGTGCCGTTCGGTGATGTGAAAATTGGTGACCTTGGAGGTTGGATTAGCAGGCGGAAGTTCAGCCCAACTGCCGTTGGGGCGCTATACATAGAACTTTCTGGAACTGGTCTGGACGTTGGATGAATGCCAGGAATCCAGGATTTGCTCCAATAGGTCACATTATCATGCTCTCGTCTACATACTACTTTTTAGTGATGTACAAGGACAGGAGCTACCACAAGCACTGCAAGTATCACTGAACTCCAGAAGCATGAGACCGAAAAAGGCTTTTTTTTCCCCTCTGTAGTTTATTGTTAACTCAATTAGATAAAAGTTAGTTTGGCACTGTAAGAGATCTGTCAGTTGGCTAGTTAAGATAAAGACAAGCATACATATTTGTATTCAAGGATTTGCTGCATTGTTTTGTTTAATAAGGAATGTAGACCCATTGATCTGATATTCCAGGCATGAAGAGTGAAACTGTTAGAGAATGTGTTAGCAAAAAAAAACAAATATAAATCAATTAAAAAAAAAACATTATAAAAGTATGTTTATGCATTTTCACATTATTTCAGATGTAGTATGTGTGTTTGTATGCATGCATACATACATACATACACACACACACACACACACACACACACACATATATATATATATATATATATATATATATATATATATATATATAATGTCATTCTCCTACATTTAATTTTCCTATTACACCCTTAGAAGGGACGCTAGCACGTTGTATTGTGGTTTTAAGCTAGGCTGTGGTATATCAAATAGGAAACAAATGGATTTAGGAGGCAAGAACGTCCACAAGCAATCCTCAGACAAACGTGGCCAAAGGTGCGGGATTGGATTTCATTGTAGATATTGAAAGAATTGCGAATGATAAATGGAATCCTCTCCATGTGGGCTTTATGATTTTAATATTATTATTAAAGAAGTTCCCTCGACATCGTCACTAGAGCTTCGAATTTCGTGCTTTTTGCGATGCTTTTGGCAAGTAGCTAGATGTTAAATAGAGAGAGACTGGGCCACGTGGGATACAGCGCAGTTCATTGACGTCAACCCTCTCAACCTTAGACGTTTTGAAACCTCCATGTGACGTCATCGACCGCCTAGGATTATTTCTCTCTTCCCTCGGTGACCATTTCCATCGTAATGATACAATCTACAGCCGTGCCAATGAGGAACGCAATTTCCCGTTATTTTAAAGCCCCACTCCGGCTGTTGTCGGGGGTCCTAATATAACCTAACGGTTGAACGGGGTTTCTGGGTCTTGCGCTTGAGCGATTCTCATCCGTATGGTGGCACTTTGTGTCACTGTTTGTTTATCGCTTTTTTTGTGTTTGTTATTGGTGGGGTTGAACTTTATTCATTCATAGTAATGACATTTTTCCATAGCTTCTCTTCTCATCACATGACCAAACAGTGCTCTTTATGTTTCCTTTATGTAGTTCAGTATATTCTTCTTTTTCTTCTCCTTCCTCCTCCTCCTGTTCCTGCCTTCCCCCTGTTCTTCGTCTTTTTTTTTTTTCTTCCTCTTACCCCAGTTGCTTCATTAAAACCCATGTATGGAGTGGGTGGGGAAATGGGGGGGGGGGGGGAGGGGGCGTAGGGATATGTTAGGATTGTGTGGGTTCTTTTTTTAATGTATTGCATGAGTTGAGTTTTAGTCACGATCATCCCGTCAGGTCGGCTCTGTGGCTAAGTCGATGCGAACGCTTCGTAATGCCGGAATGCCGGGTTCGATCCCAGCTGCGGGCCATGTGCCTTGCGTTGGTTTCGACAGTGGTATCTAGAAATCCGACCTTTTAGAAAGCAATGGCAAACTGCTGCACGTAAATTTGCCTAGAAAAGCCACACAACAGGCAGGGGTTGTTGGGGTTGGTTCTGCAATGTCCTGTAAAGGATACACAACTAACCATCCCGTCAGAGAGTCCAGGGCAATCTTCCCCATCTTGATGCTGAGCACTTCAAGCCGAGAATTCAGGACTTGTTTACTGATTATCTCCCATCGCCCTCGGATTTTCTGTGACTCGTCCAGCCTCGTAGTATGTAGTGTTTGTTGTCCTCGGCATTAGAGCTCCTCGAGGTCAGCCAGGATAAGCTTTTAGATGTCAAGAGTGGTCTTAGAAAAGTAAGGAAGTTAGTTGGGTATCTTTTACAGGACGTTGCAGAACCAGCCGCACAATTTGTTGGCTTTGTAGCCAAATTTTACGTTCAGTAGTTTGTAGACAAGTGGGGCAAAAAGTAAAGGACCATTTTCCACGCCTTTAGGCGTATAGGGCTAGACCTATATTTTTATAGACCAATCTGCACAAGATGGGTGATGTGGTCAGCATCACGCCGCCGCCTCTACTTCCCGGGACTGCACCCGGTACCCACTCAAGGCTGGATTTACCTGGGAGCCAAGGTCATTTTTGAAAAAAGTGCGGCTCCGCCAGGGAGCGAACCCACGACCTTCCGATCCGCGGCATGCGTCTATTAACAGACATCTTTAAAATTGTCCACGGAATACTTTTGCAGCCTACTGTATAAAGCTGAAAGTGACACATGGTTTTGTCATGTTACAAGATTGGCATCAGATAGGACACCACAGAGAGCATTGTTATACAGTTACAACGGTAACAGAATCAGAGGTCAACCATGCAGAAAAGGGGTCGCTGAAATATCACAGAAACTGATAAGTACGTTATACGAAGCAAACAAAAAAGGCCGTTCGACACATCCCTTCCTGCACTGACGCCGCGAGGCAATCCAGGAGTTGAGAAAAGAAGAAATTAGATTTGTCCCACCAGGACATCAGAAGATATTTGTTATCCGTCTATTCGGTTATCCCTCACAGCCCTGGTCCAGCCGGTGACGGTTACGAAGCGTTGCTGTACTCATAATAACAGTAATAGGAGTGATGATCCTGGTGGTAGTGGTAGAAATAAAAGTAACACAAACATCATTCTGCTGAGAAGCTACCGACCCGGCAGCTTCGAGATACCAGCTAAGTGATTTTGTGTTTCTGTGTAGTATTGTTTCATTTGGACTCCATTCACCATGCTTGAGGACCTTGATTTTGCAGATGATATAGCACTCCTATCACATAAACATGAACATATACCAGAGAAAAGTAACAGACTAAACTGCACAGCAGAAATGGTGGGACTGAGAATAAATACAAAGAAAACTAAGATCATGACAAACAGTCCAAACCAACAACCAGTGACCATAAGTAACCAATCACTTGAAAATGTAGAACATTTCACATATCTTGGCAGTGTGGTGTCCCTACTATGAGGGACAGAGGAAGACATACAGTCACGTCTGAACAAAGCTAGAGCTGCTTTTGGAAGGATGAGGCAAATCTGGAAATGCAACAATTACTGCAGAGGAACAAAACTCCGACTCTACAAAAGCATCATTTTGCCAGTTCTTCTTTATGGAGCGGAATGCTAGAGAATGACCAAAAAGGATGCACACAAGCTGTCCACCTTCCACCACACATGCCTACGTAGAATTATCAAAATTTTCTGGCCAGATACAATCTCAAACACTAAACTACTTCAAGCCACAAACCAAGAAACTTTAGACAGTATGATTACCAAGAGAAGATGGAAATGGCTTGGCCACGTTATGAGAATGACTTCTGACATACCTGCCAAAACAGCTCTCACATGGACACCAGAGGGAAAGAGAAAACAGAGGCGCCCAAAAACAACATGGAGACGAACGATGGAAAGTGACCTGAGTGCGGCATCTTTGACATGGAAAACTGCAATGAAGATTGCACAGGACAGGAAAGCATGGAAAGTCCTCTCTGAAGCCTCATGTGCCACTAGGCATAACAAGAACTGATGATGATGATTGTTTCATTTGTATGTGCTAATGAAGGCTCAATAGCCGCAACGTTCACGTTTTGTTTGTATTTGTTATATTGTGAAGCTTGTTTATATACTTTTCGTTCAGTTTTATCTTTTCTAAACATCAATGGTGGCCAGGGCCGTGTCTTCGAAATGCTACCTCTAAAAGCTTTGCGCTGTCAGATCAAAAGTTCAAATTGTATTTTGATTGGGCTGCTTATGCTTGCCCCCTTTCCCCCACCTTACGGTGCCACCTGATGCGTGCATATCCCTATATTACGGCACGGCTCTTTGGTGGTAATATTAGTCAAAATGATAGTGGAGTCATTGAAGTGGCCTTTTTCAGACAAGCCTCTTTAATATTAAAGTCGAGAGTATCGACGTCTTTGCATCAGGTTATCTCATTTAGTTCTTTTTCTTTCTACAGAAGGCTGACCGCCAGCACGAAGCACAAACTGCTTAGCTCTAGCAACGACCCTATGAATCTCCATAAAAACAAATCTCGTAAACTAAACGACGTGTCCGTGAAGGAAACCCACGACCCTGAGAGGGCAAGATAGCCATTCATCTTGGTAACTCAATATGTAAATGTCGCTAACAGACCAGTTGCCCTGGAGGGTCAGCTTGCTCGGAGAACCGAAGCTGTCACTTCAGTGGCCAAGGAATGGCACTTGTCGACTTCTGGCAACAGCGAAATCAATAATAGGACACCTTGCCAGTCAGGTCGTGTCCACTTGCTTGTTAGATTTTTGTTCCTATTGGCTCCTAAATTTATAAGACATGTGTCTTTCGTCTTGGACTTGCTTGTTAGTTTTGAAGCTGAGAATATTTTAGCAGTTGTGGTAGTAACAGCGTCGGCAGTAACAATAGTAGTAGTAGTAACAGCAGCAGCATTAGCAGCAGCAGCATAACAGCAGCAGCAGTAAAAGTAGTATTTAGGTTTGAGATCGTTTAGTAGCGGCGGTAATTAATCTGTGTATCTCCTTTTCCTCCTCCTCTTTCTTCTCCTATCCCTCCTCCTCCTCCTCTTCTTTTTTTTTTTTTTTTTTTTTTTTTTTTTTTTTTGTTTTATTTTTTGTTTTTGTTTTTTGTTGTTGTTGTTGTTGTTGTCGTTGTTATTGTAGTTCCACTTCTTGTTCCGGTCCAGTATGACCGACAGACATGGTGACTGGTTTTAGTCGCAAGTTATTTGCTTCTTGATAGGGATTGCCGTTGCATTTCCCACATATTTGTCTGGAAGTAAAGAGTTCGTTCACATAGCAACTGAGCTGTGCGGGTTTTATTTGGAATGCTTTTCGACTGTCCAACGCGGCTTTTGTTCTGAACAGCAGAAAGTGGTGAGTAGCCTGTTTCCACAGAAATGGTGGTGTCTTATGCGATTTTTTGCGTGTGCAACT